CCCCCATTACAGACAAATGCGTTCATTTACTAACACAATGCATTGTGGGACTTACCTTAGAAGAAAATAATGCTCCACTATGTTGGCGATCAATGCAAGGTCACCCAGAATACATTTCCAATAAACGGTAATAAAATACAGAGAACTATAGATTGAAAAAGCTTCCCCATCCTAAACCTACAAACATGATCAGGTCAAACAAATGCATTCAATTCTTGGTTAAATTCAAGCAATATTGACTCACAAGGGCAGCACATTCCCATAATGCCATTTGTGGCCAGTGACGACACCACATAAATTCCGCAGGGACAGGGACAGCAATACTCTATAGTACATGATCCAATTTGCAACTAGTTTCACTCATAAAAGGTTTTACAAAAGAGCATCAAAAAATTGTGTCACAGCCTCTTTGTTTGAATTTGAAGTACATTTATACATATTTAAACAAATTTACAGTTACAGGGTAATCCAAATGAGTGTAAGACCAAATATTAAAACTTGTGAATTTATATGCCATTAAATACATTTTTCTTTCTTAGTTTCAATGTTATTAGCTCAAAAAACGTAGTGCAGATGCTTGTAATCACATGCATGTATCAAATTGTTAATGAAGTAGTTTTTACACAAAAATTAAATGCACATATTTTGATACGATTTCTTCTGGGTACAGGCTATTTCAATAAATAACTACGTATCTTATCTATGGTACCTGTATTTAGCGATAATTGTCAATATTTACGTTTAGTTATCGATAATTGTCAATATTTATATTTATGTACTCAATCACCTATTAAAATTATTTCTTTTCTTCTTCATTTTTGATATATTCCTTGGTATTATTGAAAATCTTTTGTATTTAACAGAATATTGACATTTTCATTGAATAAAATTATCTATGTTAGGGACGACGTCAAAAGATCGATGTCGGATAAAAAACTTAATTCTTTTAGTTTTTTCCCCAAACCCCCCACCCCCACTGAAACTTAATTGATAAATATTGATTATGGCGTCAGACTACATTAACCATTAAATACAAATTGATAATCGGACAGTAGTATGGCATAGCAGTTGGTTCTAGGTCCATGACCTGAAATTGACCTCATTTGACGCACATATTTACACTCGGACCAAACCATTTTCTCGTCTTGGATGTTTTGTTTTTTTCATTTTCTGTTATTTTTGTCTATGATTGGATAGAAAAAATATCGAACTACAAATACTCCAAGTTTTTTTCGACTTCATTAAAAAACAAAATCGTTTTTTTAGGATGGAAACTTTTTGAGGTGAAAACCCCCACCCCCAAACTAAAGCAAATAAGTTTTTTATCCGACATCGATCTTTTGACGCCGTCCCTTAAGTTGAATTTAAATACTAGTACCAGAAAAACAGTTACTGCACTCTTTTAGTGTTCAGTTAGAATTGTTGTGTCTTTCAACAGCTTGTTTGGTGAGTAAATATTAACAATGTCAATGGATTAAGGTGAATTCCCATGTGCGTCATTGCAACGTGTGCAATAATTTATTCTTTCATTTCACATGCTTCTTTATCCCACTATACTAAGTAAAGAAAATACATGTTGACAACTTTGTTCTCTTTACTGAATTCACAATAATAGTACAATGTACCTCGAACACACAACTGCCCTACATATTGGGTATTTTAGGTAATCCCCTCAGATGCTTGTAGATTAGCATCTAACGAGGATAGCATACTGTAAAACATGTTGAAAAAGCGACATGCAATTTTAACGTATTTGCTAAAATGACGTAATAGCGAATCTTACTTCTCATTGTTGATTTCCTGTCTTCACAAAACATGTACTTGTCTGTCGCGTGCCAAAACAAATGCGCAGTTATCACCTCCACAAAAACTGTGTAATTAGGAAGCGCCCCAGATTTTTATGTTCCGGATTACTGTATACAAATCCCCAAGCCTTGGCCATTTTGAATTTATAATAAAATTATTAGTGACATCTTGATTTAGCAGGTAGACAGAACACAGACAGTGGTTTCCCCTGACATTCCTATTGTGTCAAAGGTCATTTAGAGTTTGTATCCATAATCTTGAGAGTTGATAAGTCTGACATTGTGTGGTGTGAAAAAACATCTGGATTCATGTAAACAAAATTGACAAGATAAAGCAAGAATTCAAAGCCCCCCCCCCCTACCTCGTATATGCATATGTACATGTATGTACATAAGAATCATAGCTTACTTTTCCATCATGGTACATGTATGATGACAATGAAATGGCTTGCATTCATGTAGTACACATGGTATTCTATGGGGGTGGGCATCCTGGCAATCATCACGGTGAAAACAAAGACCGAAACTCTAAGAAAACTGTACTTTAGGCTATTTGTTGAGACTCTCCTGAACAGTGTAACAATATTACCCCCTACATGTGCAACATATATATTAATTTGGCTGCCTTAAACCGCGGGTCTGGGTGTATAAAAGGAAAGATGGCCGCCACTTTTCAGTATGCAAATGACACTCAAGCGTGAAACATCTCTTCGGGGTGCTCCGCAAAATCACTCTTTTCGGCAATCTTAACGCCTGTGGTGCTTTATTTTCATGTCGTACACAAACATGAATATGTCCGCGATACAACTGCGATGTTAATTTACGAGTTTGGTGCGATGTCAGTGCGATTTCCGCGTAAAAGCTACGGAAAAGCATGATTCAAACAGTCGTTTTGACTGCTCAAACTGGCTGTCAGTCATGGGTTTATGCAAATGTAAGGTGTTAATCCCGAGTTATTTGTTCAATCTCTAGGTATGTTTATGTAATTACGGAGTTGATCATGTAAGTGATATCGTGGAGCTAATAAGAAATGATATGCTGTGAGCTGTTTGTCCGTCCGTTCATCTCAGGGGACATCGTCGGCGCTCCACGAAGCGGTCCGACCCGAGCGAGTGCGAATCGCACGAGCTGGGGTGTGCGCGAGAGGGGAGGGACTTTGCGTAAACATACCAATAATTTCTGTAGTGTGTGTGTGTGCAAAGAAAGACATTCGCGGTTACAGGGCTGGAAAAAAATGGGTTTCACTCTGATATCGATGAAAAGAGTCGAGGGAGTCCCAAATACGTCCCCTACAATATGTCGAGTATGCTTCTCAAATTTCTCTTCGTTCTCGAAATAAATAAATTGAAAGGTCTCACAAAAAATTACAATGTTCCCTGAAACATGTCCCCACAGTGAAATATTTAGTCCTTTTTGTCACGTACTAGTATGAGCCGCGCATATATTTATGTATATTTGACGTCGGACCAGTGCCGCACAGCCGTATACATATAATAAAGTTTTGTTTTTGTTTTTGTTTTTTTGACGTTGCATAACGTCATTATTGCCGAGCCGACAAGACATATTATGGCAAACGTTGTACGACAACTACATTGTGTAGGTCATTCAAATAAACTACAGTTATTTCATGATGCAAGTAATTGACAATACGGTAGTTCTCTTTTTGGAATATTTGTTGGCCCTGAAAATAGCACAGTACGTAGTATGAATACGTCGCACTCGTAACGTACGAGTGAATGAATAAATACATTGTATAAAAAGGTCGCACTTGTAACATATTAGTACAATAGCAAGAAAGCAAAGGCATGAGCTCAATTCAGAGAGAACCTTACAATGCCGTAACGCCATTTACAGAAATTGTGCTTTACAGTCGACCACGAGCGAAACAAACACAGAAAACGGCTTTCAAAAGAGTGCGTAGGCCCAGTGAACGTCGAACAACGGGATTCAGCAAGTCCTTTCAAATCAGATAATAGCGTAATGCATGATGTTAGCTTACGGAATTAACGCCTTCAGTTGAAATGATAACAGCTGTGTACCAAGTAAACAACTGGGCGGACCATGCAAATTACATTTCCCATGATGCACTGGTGCAATTCCTGGGATTGCGGAGCCGCGCTTTAAAGTTGGATTTTTGCTGATTCTTCGACTTTCACAGACTCTTAACGACGTTCCACAACAGCTCCTGCAGACCCCTTAAAAATACATGGCAGAGTGGTGTGCATCTTAGCAACATAGAACGTTTTGTGACATAGATCCACCCCTGAGAATACCATATTTTGAGTTTAAACTCATCTCCCAATGTAATACATTTTGTTGCCATGGATATGCATTATTTAGGGTCACATATAATTTTCATTGTGTATGTTATTGACGACATATGTCTCTATGGTTTCGAAAAATGATGATCAATATTCATATCTGTTATTGCCTTTGGCGGACAAACGATGTACCATTGATGTAAACTGCTTGCATGTCATTACATGTATATTTTTATAACTAAAGAATGCTGTGTGTCTATACATGTACATGTAACATTTTTCTCATTGAATATTCTAGATTTGAGAATTTCAATCAAACACTGAATTGAAAATTAAATGTGACTGAATTGAAAATTCATTATTTCTTCATATTTCCAATTATTTATGTCTTTTGAATAAAATAATTTTTTGAGAGGAAAATAAAAAAACTATTTTTTTTTACTATAGTACCGTACTTCCCCCATCTTAAGGCCATAGGCTTCAACATGTAAAATCAGGGAAAGTAATGGGTGGCTTATACTAGAGTCCCACCTCAGAAAAAATGTTTTTTAGGTGGTTTAACATTCTAGCCATTTTACCACTCACGAATAATTACCCATATTACATCTTTCGTTCTCCATGCTGGGCTAGGGGGAATATTGCTTTATTTTGAAGAAATAAAAAAGCGAAGCAATGAAGAAACAAACATGCTCATAAAAATACGCACATTTTATTAGTCCCCGTTCGGACTTGATACACATTTTATTTTTCAGATCCAATTAAAATTTGGCCGACTGGCTTCTAGAGCTATATCTTTGATATGCTTTGTCTGGTTATGTTCAAATTGTATATATTTGTTTTACATCATGTTATAGATATATAGATGTATTCAAAACGGCCGACTGGTGGCCATTTTGTTTTAATTAATGCTGTTCCAGAGCAATATTTCTCAATATGGACAAGTACTCGTTTGACGATCAGATTCAAGATGTCAATCGTTTTAGTGTTAAAAAATTATCATAATCAAGCATCATTTTCTGGATCCATACTTCTGACATGTTTATGTTCTAACTGTATTACTATAAACAAATCTATATGTCTTAAATTTGATAACTAACTGGGACTGTGCCATGCTTGGCTTGTTACAACACGATTTACATACATGTAACAAAGTGTTTCTTCTCCAGAAATTCCAATATTGAACAATTCATATCTTCAATATGTTCTAATAAAAAATGGTGTCATTTCCATTTGATAAATATTTCTCTTCCATAATGCATTGCACTTATGCTCAGTAAATGTTAAATTTTCATATCAATTTTCTTTATAATTACATAAATGCATAATTGTCTGCCCTAGTATATTTCCATTACATATCCTTGCAAAATGCCTTTGTGAAAATGTTACAAAAATATTTCCCGACTTTTAATTATATTTGTACATTTTTGTGTTCATGATTTGTGCAAGAGAATAACAGAACTTAGTATTATAGAAATCAATAAGAATTTCAAGTCATAACATGATCTTTTTTTTTCTTATAGTGAAAGCAATGATGCCGATATTTACAGTAACTTTATCTAGAATCATTTTATATGAAAAACAAACCACAAAGGTATGTAGAACACGTTTTATCTTGTAGTTTTTTGTGGTAGTGCTTAATTACCTGTAGTTTTTTGTGGTATTTGCATAGTAGATCTAATTTGCATGTAACATATGCCAATATGTTGTTACATGTAAAAGTTTTATAAACATGTTTGTAAATTTTAATTCAAATTATTTTTTTTTACGTCACGGCACAGCACCGAAATAAACTGATCAACAAAACTAATATCTTACTATTAATCTTCCTTGCAACATTAATATTTCTTAATAACATTGAGAGTGGTGTTTGTTATTTGTAGTCGACTGTTGGGGCTTTGGTTTGTTAGGATTGAAAGTGCCCAAGTTTTAACATATTGCTGAAAGTGATCAGATGTTGTAAAAGGGATTGATAAGGAGATAATGCTTTTCTTGATCTAATTTTTGCAATTTCAGGATTAATTGTTTTTTTTTGTGAAAATAAAATTTGCGAAATTCTATATGTCTTAGGACACCAGAGAAAATTTCTGCAACCACCTGTCCCAGATAAAATCTGCACGTCTGGTACAGGTGGACTAGCAAGTTCTGCAACCACCTGTCTCAGATAAAATCTGCACGTCTGGTACAGGTGGACTAGCAAGTTCTGCAACCACCTGTCTCAGATAAAATCTGCCTGTCTGGTACAGGTAGACTAGCAAGTTTTGCAACCACCTGTCTCAGATAAAATCTGCCTGTCTGGTACAGGTGGACTAGCAAGTTCTGCAACCACCTGTCCCAGATAAAATCTGCCTGTCTGGTACAGGTAGACTAGCAAGTTCTGCAACCACCTGTCTCAGATAAAATCTGCACGTCTGGTACAGGTGGACTAGCAAGTTCTGCAACCACCTGTCTCAGATAAAATCTGCCTGTCTGGTACAGGTGGACTAGCAAGTTCTGCAACCACCTGTCTCGGATAAAATCTGCCTGTCTGGTACAGGTGGACTAGCAAGTTCTGCAACCACCTGTCCCAGATAAAATCTGCACGTCTGGTACAGGTGGACTAGCAAGTTCTGCAACCACCTGTCCCAGATAAAATCTGCCTGTCCAGTACAGGTAGACTAGCAAGTTCTGCAACCACCTGTCTCAGATAAAGTCTGCCTGTCTGGTACAGGTGGACTAGCAAGTTCTGCAACCACCTGTCCCAGATAAAATCTGCCTGTCTGGTACAGGTGGACTAGCAAGTTCTGCAACCACCTATCTCAGATAATTTCTGCCTGTCTGGTACAGGTGGACTAGCAAGTTCTGCAACCACCAGTCCCAGATAAAGTCTGGTACAGGTGGACATGCATGTTCAGTAAACATCTGTCGAGGTAAAATCTGCCCGTCTGTCTGCCATCTGTCCTTGGTAAAATCCACCTGTCTGGTACAATTGGCAAGCAAGTTCTGCAACCATCAGTGCCATATAAAATTGGCAAATTTGGAACGAGCAAGTGGACATATATATATTTATCTGCTTACCTGGGACAGAGGGACATGCTTTAAATTTGGATCCCTGTATTCGATTTGCTGTCCAGATAAGAAAAGACACAAACACTAATCAATAAATAGTTACAAATTTATGTACATTAAGTCAATCAACCGCCTGAGGGCGATGGTCGTCATGTGACGTATACAACGCGTGTAAAATACATATACCGGTACATCATTTATTCACATGAAATTCGAACACATGCTGCGTGGCAACCACTGCCCTTTAACAATCTATATCATTCCAGAAACACCACAGCTACAATGAACTTACCATACTGTAAAACATGTTGAAAAAGCGACATGCAATTTTAGCGAATTGTGGTGAAATGACGTAATAGCGAAATTTTGATTTAGCGAATATCCCTTGTCATTGTTGATTTCCTGTTTTCACAATACTTGTCTGTCGCGTGCCAAAACAAATGCGCAGTTATCATCTCTATAAAAACAAAGAAAAACTGCCAAGTGTAATTAGGAAGTGTTATGTTCCAGATTACTGTATACAAAACACCAAGACTTAAAGTCATTAGAGACATCTTGAATTAGCGAATCAGTTCTCTCGCTAAATTCGCTAAAAAAACATGCTCGCAAAAAAGACATGTTTTACAGTATTTGTGTACACTATATGTATTGACTCCTTGTCTCTTTTCATTTTTTACAGGTTTATTTATCTTTACTACCTATTATATTTGGTGTACTTTTAGCCACAGCAACTGAAATATCATTTGATCTTCTGGGATTATTATCATCTCTTTCAGCAACTATAGCTTTTGCTTTACAAAATATTTTTTCAAAAAAGGTAAGATATTGTGATGAGCAGTGTTATTCTGTGATCAATACACTTTGACGAATGTGAGTGTTTGAAGTGAACGTGTAGTTCTCACAGGATAACATGTTCTCTCCTCCATGTATTAGCTCGTATAAGGGCAACCATTGAAGTTGGCATATATTTATATATCCATGGCAACCTTATTTTTGTATCTTTTAAAAATATAATCCCTGACATGTTTCATTGTCTTGAGTTTTTAAAACAGTGGTAGAACTTTTCATGTTTTTGACTCCCATGTGCGAAGCACAAAATGGGAGTCTTTGCAGTTAGTGTGTCTGTATGTGTGTGTGTGTGTATGTGTGTCCGACTGTTCCACTGCTATCTCAAGAACCATACATCGGTTTTTGATGAAACTTGGTGCATAGATGCTCTGGGCCAATGCGCAGATTTGATTAGGTTTTGGTAAAAATCCATGCTCGTTAATTACCTAATTTGCATGATAATTAGCTAATTTTTAGCTGTTCTATGACTGTTCCACTGATATCTAAAGAACCACTCATTGGATTTTGATGAAACTTGGTACATAGATGCTCTGAACATATGCGCAGATTTGATTAATTTTTGGTAAAAATCCGTGCATATTAATTACCTAATTTACATGATAATTAGCTATTTTTTAGTGGTTCCATGACTGTTCCACTGATATCTAAACAACCACTCATTGGATTTTGATGAAACTTGGTACATAGATGCTCTGAACTAATGCTAGGTTTTGATTAGTTTTTGGTAATAATCCGTGGATACTAATTTACCTAATTTGCATATGATAGTCAATTTTCGGTTTTCCACTG